TGTTGGGATGTGTCTTGGTCTTTGTTTTTCTTTTCTTCTAGGGTCCACCAAAACTGGTGGCCTAATTGCACGTGCCACTTTTTGTGGTCATGGTGGAACTCAATGTACTACATGACCTTAGTACAAGGGTAGTATACATGGGGTATGAGTAAATATCGTGATACGATACTTAGTACATGATAGCTACACTATGGGTATATCATGCCCGGTACAACATACATACAGTAATGCCCTTATCATAAACAGCAGCATGGAGAATTCGTGTTAATCGAAGAAGTTGACCACGATGTAGCATAACTTCAACATCTCTCTCTCCCTCTCTCCTTTCTCCTCTTTCACCCTGCAGGCTGGCTACACGAAGCAGTTCCTCCGTCGACTGACTCGAGGTGCCGCGTCTCTCCCAGACGGCCCTCTCTTCTCGACTCGCATCCTCGTAGTCCACGCTTCAAAAAGCAGAGTCAGTTATGCATCCAGCCTCAGCCCACTCCACAATGCAACAAACCTGTATGTATGTATGTATGTGTGTGTATGTTGTGTATGTAGGGAGGTGATAGAGAAGAGACCTTATGAATTCAAGATCGAATGTCTGCAACAAGTCAGAGATCTGTTTCCGTGATACTGTCCTCCGGCTGGGTATGGCAATAGGCACAGTGCTGGTGTGTGTGGTAAGTGAGGTTTTCGAGGGAGTGTGTAACGTGTGGGCGTGACTTGAGTATAGTTGAAACAAGTGTCCCTTGTAGAGAGGTCGTCCCTATCTCGGAGGTTCTCTTATCGGAGGTTCACTGGGGAAAATAAGGACACCTCTTCCTTGTCCCACTGGTATTATCTTTCCAAACGTTGTATATACCAAACGAAAAATTCAGAGTGTCTTAAGTATCAGTTTTCTATTCCCCCATTCCCAGGATGTCAAGTCCTATACCCAGGTTGGAATACCACGGTCTCGGATTTTCACTGTCAACTACAAGGTACGCTTGTTGTTGTTGAAATGTCGGTAAACTGTACTTTTTTCACTCTGTACTAATATTTCTGCAGGGGCACCTGAAATATGAAATATCAAGCACATTTCAATCAACGTATGTTTCTGACCTTCTGTGTAAAAGACTGTACTATTATGGTATCTCTAATTGGTGCCCATCCACAGCTACATGAACATGATTGAGTTTGTGGATGCTCAGTTCCCTCCTGTCGGTCGTCGCCTCCCCTCCTCCCCCTCTCCCCCCTCCCCTCCTCCCTCCCCTCACTCCACACGAGAAGAGTACAGCACTTTCAATTTCTGGAGAACAGACCTGCCACACCAGCCGCCCTTTGACCTCTGATGTTCATTATCATCCACACTGATTTTTATAACAGCAGAGTCGAACCTCTCAAGTGTTGTGATGTTTGTGGTTCGGTTTTGGAGTGATTTTCAAGTTCCTTTTGTATATTAGGTATATATGCAGTCATTTTGTGAACCAGCAGTATATGGTTCGTGGGTATTCGCGAAGAATCTGGTTTTTGTGAGAATCATGCCATTATGGTAATTCAGCAACTGCACATAGAATGACGTGTCTAGTACACTTCAGTTCAATGCGTGGATGTATATATATTAACAGACGCATTTATGGTGATTCATAATTAACCTACGGCGCGCATGCGCAGCGAGGGACGGTAGTTGGGGTTGTCTGTCTGTGCTGTCTGTCTGTGTGTGTGTGTGTGTGTGTGTCTGTTCGGTTACTCGTCTCTCACTTCTATCTCCTTCTCGAGTGTTGGCGCTTCGTCTCACAAAGGGTACCACCTAGGTCTGAGCGGGCAATGCTGAAGCGTCCAGAAAATATGTGGGGTTTTCTCTGAAACTGCTCCGTTTGCAGGCGTAGAGCGCGAAGCAAGCTAATATGCGAAATAGGCTAACGGACGGGACGGCTTACCACGGTCGTGTGATCGATCCGCCGCGTGCTCATGCGTACTCAGACTGGACACCAGAAGATGCAACGCAGAGGGCGTGTATCGCCTCGCGCATGCTATCTAGTAGTGTAGGGTTAGCCCGCGTACGACAGGGGTCAGACTCTCGCGCGAGCTGGGAGAGCCCACGACGTAACAGCTAAACTAAACAACTCCAGCAAACACCCGCGAACCCAGCCCATCAATGTGTGTGTACGTGCGCATGACGTTTACTTACCCGTGCGCGTCACAATGCGCCGAGGTTTTGCAAAAAAAACCCCCCATTCTTGCAACGCAAGCCAAAACTCTCCTATCCCAAACCCAAGATAACCCACAACCCATTAACTACTAAACTTGCTCTCAAACCTCAAACACCAACTCAACACACAACCGCCACTTCAGGTCTTTTTCATTTAATAATAGCTAAAAATCACCATGTAATCAAAATGGCAGCAAATTAAAAACGTGTGGTAGAAATCATCAGTTATGTCAGGAGGGCATGGTTCTCTAGTTCACAATCTCCGAGGAGGAAGGCATGGCTTTCTTCCCCTAATGACAACGATGACGATGACGATGAGGAGGAGGAGGAGAGGCAGTCGTGTTCCAGTACCCCAGTCAGGAACTGGCTCAGGACTCTGTCCATGTACGTCTTGCGGAACGGGAACAGACCCTGCATGAACCCAATGTGACCCCCTCTCCTGGTGGTCACCAGGATGAGGTTGGGGTTTGCCTCTGCCACATCTTCTGGGATAGCTAAAGAGGGGAAAGATAGTGGGCATTATTTGGAGCTCTAGCTCTATAGAACAGGGATGGTTGGCATTATTTGGAGCTCTCTATAGAACAGGGATGGTTGGCATTATTTGGAGCTTTCTATAAAACAGGGATGGTTGGCATTATTTGGAGCTCTCTATAGAACAGGGATGGTTGGCATTATTTGGAGCTCTCTATAGAACAGGGATGGTTGGCATTATTTGGAGCTCTCTATAGAACAGGGATGGTTGGCATTATTTGGAGCTCTCTATAGAACAGGGATGGTTGGCATTATTTGGAGCTCTCTATAGAACAGGGATAATTATTTTGGAAATCTAGAACTGTTCTATAATTCAGTGAAAACTCTGAATAGTGGGCCTCATTCAGAGGATTATATACATCACACACACGTTAGGCTGTACTTTCAGAGGTTCCAGTGCATTTGCTCTCAAAATGGATGGACGTTGCAAAAATTATTGGCAGGTGTAAAGTCTAAATGTACAAGAATTGTGCTCAAAAACTGCACTATAATATACAGCATATGTCGGATCTCTCACTTCAACTGCCTGTCTTACCATCAGCAGGGCAGAAAGGGTCGTCGACGGCGTTGACAGCGATGACAGGAATTGTCAGCTCTCCTACATTCTCACAAGGAGAGTGTGACTGCTGCATCGGCTCGTGGTGATAGCTGAACATTGGAATCACATACGCCTCATTCATCTCTCTCAGGTAAGTTGACTGATGGAGAGAGGAGGGAGGGAGAGAGGAGGGAGGGAGAGAGATACAGTGTAACCTCTGATAAGGGACCCTCCGAGAGAGGGCCGACCTCTCTACAAAGGACACTTGTTTCAACCACATGCTAATACTTTAGTGCATTATTTGACCTCCGAGATAGTGACGACCTCTCTACAAGGGACAAAATTGTTGGTGTCCCTTGTTCGGAGGTTCCACTGTAAACATTCCAAACAGCCTCAGGCAATAAAAGCTATAGTATTATGTTATGAGACCCTCTAACTGTATTAGCTGTACTTGTTAGCTATACAGCGATAAGTTCGCACCTCAGCATCACTTCAGCAAAAGTGCAGTATGTACAATACAAGTAAATGTCTCTGTTTTGGATCAATACAAACAGAATCTGTTCTCACCCGCAATGCCTTCTCGTAATCACAACACAGCTCGTTTCTCGCCTGAAAATCCTCAAAAACTTGTCTGTTTCTGCAACAATCAACAATAAAAACAATACGTATGTGTAGCTAACAAAACTACATTTTCTTACTCCTTAATAAGGTTTCTGTATCTTCTGGTGAGGAATCTGCTGATCACATGTTTGTTGAATAGATTAGTATGAAGTGCCTGAAGAGGGAGAGAGAGAGAGAGAGAGAGAGAGAGAGAGAGAGATGTACAGGTTAGCTAAAGAGCAGGTGTCACTCAATACAGTAGTACTTAACTTGCACTAAGTACAGTGATATAGGGATGATATCATGCCCATACATTTGAGATTTTCGTGTGGAGTAGGTTTGTTCAATGTTTAGTTAAGTTAACAAGTTGTTTAAAAAAACAGGAAAATGATTTACTAACAGTTCCTCTGAAATCTTTTAGTTAAGTCAAGTTGTTTACAGGAAAAGATTGTTATCACAGTTCCTTGAAATCATTGCCTAAAGTGAATACCTTGTTCTATGAGCAGCTATATTTGTACTGGGAGATAGAGAACACTGAACCTTGTCCGATTCTCGAAGGCTCCAAATTACAGAGAAGACGAGGCCGGCAGAGATACGACAAGGTCTGGCCTTTCTCCTGCACTCTGCCACATACCGTATCAGTTGTACACTGCGGGGGAGGGGGAGGAATACAACGATTATTACTGTGACGTAATATTTACAGTTGTACACTGGAGGAAAATATGACCAGTCCTGTGATATAACTTAACAGAGAAGGTTGAGCACAGTCGAACCAACCATGCAGAACTCATGTGAATGAACCCTACGCACTTTGTTTTCTCCGCACTGAAGTTGTTCAAGAAGGTTCGATTTAAATTTGTACATGCAGTGAAATAGAAATTTAGTATATACCACGCCCTAGCAAGATAAAACTAGCTGTCATATAACAATACTTGCCCTGTACCATGTATTAAACAGTGACCTAAGTCCTCATCTCCTGCTGTTGGCAAAACTAGACATCTATATATGGATAGCCCTGTCACATGGCAATTCTGTCATAGTTCCAACATTCCTCACATGTTTCTACTTCCTCCCGAAGGTGTAATACTCAATTAACAAGTCTTTGAATTAACTTATAGGCCTTTTTAAAATCATTAGCTCCTTCCCCATACATTTCTATAAGAGGTGAGAGTGTGCATTAAAAGGAGGACAGGATGCCTGGTACATGTGATGCAGTGGTACATTAGAATGTTAATTGGATTCCAGGGTGCAAAGTTTATGCCCCTAGTGTTACGACTATCATTGATGTTGTGTACCTTCCCATGGAGACACCAACGGCTACGATGGTAGAGGAAGGATTGTGGAAGTGGAGATAGTCCGCGACCTCTGTGAGGTCGTCCACATCTCCCAGAGAAAACAGCTTCGGAGTCTGAGAGTGGATTTAAACAGTCACCGAAACATTCTGCAAAGGTGTATATACCATATGTCCACCCCTATACATGTCTCAACAACTTGGTAGCGAGTAGAAAGGCAAGGCAAGGCAAACAAGTCAACTACACCCAGGACAGTACAGCATACTAAGTATATACTACCGTACTTAGCGATAATCCTGTGGGAGAAAGGTTAAGTCATACCGATAACTTTGAGTTGCCACACCCCCGGTAGTTGAACACCACACACCTGGACAGTACATGAGTCATTCTGTAGTCTAACCTCCTCAATTTGTTTGGGGAAAGTTAGAAATCAGGCTATTTTCTAGGGGGTAGAATAATTAATTGAATATTGGGGGTTTATAGCCTCTCAACTATGACTAAAAACTGCAGTATCGTCTTATACCCACCTAACAAATTGGCCACACCCCAAAAAATTTCTACAAAAAGTGCTGGCTATGTACTGTGTATGATGATGATGATTGTACCTGTAACCCAGTCTCCGGCAGTCATCGACCCAATGTCGAGTGTACGTCTCTTTACTGCTACCTGCAATGACAGACGAGAGAAGAAAGTGAAGATGTTTCTATTTCTCTGTTTACACTTATTTGTGATCTTTACTAAAACTGTGATCTTTACTAAAACTGTGCTGTTGACTGTGTGCGTCGCTATACAAGTGGATAATATACTGTGTCTGGGAAGATAGACACCAATATTAACAGTGAAACCCCTGAAGCTTCTTTTGTACTATTTGGAGGTAGTATTTCATTAGTATGGGGCAGAACCAAGTGTCCTTTATAGAGAGGTGTCCCTATGTATTAGTATGGGGCAGAACCAAGTGTCCTTTATAGAGAGGTGTCCCTATGTATTAGTATGGGGCAGAACCAAGTGTCCTTTATAGAGAGCTGTCCTATTTGTCAGAGGTTTCACTGCATAGTATGCATGTCCTTTATGTTTGCATGTTCTGGTCATAGTGTTATGTATGGCTGCCTTTTGATCATTACTGACACTATAGTGGAACCTCTGAACAAGGGACACTATGGGGCCAACGAATCTGTCCCTTGTAGAGGCTGTCCCTATCTCTGGAGAGTCCCTTACCAGAGGTTCCACTGTTTTTTCATGTGTGTATAGCTAGCTGTAAAACTGACCTGTCATTCCACACAAGATGAGCACTATTGGACCTCCCTGGTTGCCTCCTCCATCCTCCTCACAGCTCTCGAACCAATCCAGACACACATGCCCCCCGTCACTCATTTTTATCGTCTCTCTATTTTCAACAATAATTATTAATTTGCATGGCTAATGAATTACGTTTTCTTGTCATTGGTATTATACTACAAAACACGTTTACTATCATCCAACCATGCAGCACTGCATGGAGCTGTGGATAGCACACAGATAAGGAATCTCCACCTGCTTCATACCCTATCAACTACAGCCATCCCACTACATCCTATAGCTGCTGTCACCATAAAAGAATTTGCACCCCTCCAGCTAATTGCTGTCCTGCCAATAACAGATGGGTGTGCGGATGTAACCCGCAAAATTGTTAGATTCATCACCTTTTACTGCATTCTCCTATCACAAAACGTTTACAATTCTCCCACCCACTAAATAAAATAGCGGTATAGCTGCTCGTTTTCTGACAATCATCCCAACGAAGCCTCTGTTTTGCACGAATTTGCAACGCAAAACGTTGCAAACGGATCGCGCTTACCGCCGGCCTCCGAGACTCTCCACGCTCGGCGCCTGCTGCATCAGAAGTCGAACGATGCTCTGGACGTGTCCCTGAGGCGCCCAGAACGTCGGCCAGTAGTGCTCGAACAGGGCCGGGCAGTGGCGCCGGAGCCCCTGTAGCCGGTCCGCGTCTTTGCAGACCACTCGCGGTCGAGTCACGTTGAAAAGGCGGTAGTAGATGACGTAGATACAGATAAGGCCGAGCAGACACACTCCTACCGCCACTCGCGGTGCCAGATACTCCACCGAGTCGTCCATTGTCCCGCAACTCGCTCAGTGTGAGTGTTCCGTCGTATTCCCCGCTCTCCCAGCTCGGCAAACAAGCTCCGCCCCCTTTTAATTATCCCGTCCAGATTCCGTACTGCACAATCGGTGGGCGCGTCTGGAACGAAATTCTTCGTAAGTATGTGTCTTCCTTCCTCATCTCTTTATCCCTCCTATCTTTCTTCCTAATCTCCGCATTAAATCTTTTCTTCCTCTCCCTAATCCTTCTTCTCTTTCTGCCTCACTTCCCAATCTCCTTCCTCATCTCTTTATCCCTTCTATCTTTCTTCCTAATCTCCGCATTATAATCTTCTAATGTCCCTTTCTTCCTCTCCCTAATCCTTCTTCTCTTTCTGCCTCACTTCCCAATCTCCTTTCTCATTCTTTCTTCCTCTTTCTAATCTTTCTCTCTCTCCCTCTCTCTCTTGCCAGCAGCTCCCCTCAGTGTATACCAATGGCTGGGAAGGTCGTGCTAGTCCAGTACATAGCTCTGAGAGGAGACCTTCTCAGGACCCAGAAATGGCCAGTTGGGGCTCTGGTTGCGCAGGGTTGCCATGCCTGCACTGCCGTCATCCACACTCACAGAGACAGTGGCAATGTGGTCCAGTATCTGAGTGACCTTGATCGCATGCACAAAGTCGTGCTGGAGGTAGATCACTACCATAAACCAGCGTTTAGCAATGATGAAGTAATTGTGGTGGCAGGCAACCAAAGATCGTTTGTAGCAGCATCAGTTGAAAGTAGCTTGCTGCGTGTTTCTTTAGCTGGTCACAAATGCACTATAGCTAGAAAGGTTTCACTAAATAGGTGCTGTTCATTAGCCTTATAAGGGAAACCTGGGAGATGTCTAAGTACAGTAGTATATACTTAGTATATAGGGATTGACATGGTACCTAGCATCATAGATGTATGGGGCTATGATAGGGAGTTTTGTTCATCTTCTTCTTTTGTTTTAGGTGTCCTTTATTCAGAAGCTTTATTAGGGTCCACTCTAAAAATGTGTTTCTAGCGATGTATGGTCTGTCCAGGTTCCAGACGGGGAGGGACTGGTGAGTCTGAGTAGTGATCTGGAACGGAATGGAGTACTGCACAGGCTGTGGGTGGAACAGCCTGAGGACATACCGACATGTCTCGCCACTGTTCCCTACCCCAAATCACAGATATCTCAGCACTTCAAGAAATTCAAGCTTTTCAAGTGAACTCAGTCATTCTCTTGTGTGTGTACTAGCGAGATACTCCGTCAATAATTGATATTTGCGCATGCGCACACGTTGTGACGTCATTACTTGGTGGCGACGACGAGACAGTAATTCGGGTCGCTGTTGTGTGGCTGTGTCGTGAAAGTTACCAGAGCACCAGGTAAGTTATTGTTAGACTTTGTTTAGGGCCATTTTCACTTCCTACTGTGCCTAGCTACTAGAATACTTCGTAATCGTCGACCTTATTCCTAATAAACGCCCACCTACCAACCCCGCGCTTTCGACGGGTCTACACCGCCTCTGTCTTTCCTCGGCTGGCTGACTCGCCATGGCGACGGGAGCTAACACCACTCCTCTGGGCCGCCTCCACCCGATCCTGGCCGCCAAAGTTGGAGAATCCTCACCATCCCCCGTGGGATCAACTGGTAGCAAAGACCCTGAGTTGAAGAGACATCTCGAGGCGGCCAAGAGAGCAGCTTCTGCTCTCTTCCCTGGTTAGTTTTACCTCTCCCTCCTCTCTCTCTTTTCCCCTGTTAGTTTTCCCCTTTCTCTTGCCTTTCATCCAGCAAAAAATTGGCAGAAAAGTCAATTATTTGGTAGTTTATTGTCCCAATACTTTGTGTTTTTTCCCTCCCTCCCTCCCTCCTCTCCCTCCCACCTCCTCCCTCCTCTCCCTCCCTCCTCTCCCTCCCACCTCCTCCCTCCTCTCCCTCCCTCCTCTCCCTCCCACCTCCTCCCCACCTTCCCTCAGAGGAGCCTGCTCGCAAGAAGCGCAAGTCTCGTTGGGCCAGTGAAACCGTCAGGACGGCTATTCCTGGCCTCCCCACCGTTATGCCTGCCAACATGAACGAACAACAGCAGCAACTCTACATCTGTAAGCCACGTCTACGGAATTATGCTACTAGATGCAGTTCAATACTCTTGTGTGTGTGTGTGTTTCAGTACATCTGAAGATTGAGGAGACAAGTCGTCAACTCAGGAGTGGGGATCTGGGGATTCCCCTAAATCCAGCCGACAGGTGACAATCACGTGACACTCACAAGACACTCTCTACAGAGTGACCCACTGTCTTTGAAAAAATTGGCATCAACCTCAATTTTTGCCAGTCTTGCCCTAAAATTTTGGCCCATCCAACCAACAAAAATGAGTGATACTAAAAATTCATGCCAATTTTTGAGTACACAGTAATCTGTAGACAGGCATAATTATGAAGCAAAGTACATAGTTTTGATGACCGTGCACGCAAAATTGTCTTGATTTTAGCAGGTAAGGAAATGAGGAGCCCTCCAACCCTCACCTTCTTCTCTCCCACAAACTTGTCGTATTTGCTAACCACTTGACCTTTCTCGTCATAGATACACATAGAGAGAGAAAAGATGAACTCTGTCGTTGTGCTGAGTTTTAACCCCTCTCTGTCTGTGTGTGTGTGTTGTGTGCATATTAGTAGTGTTAGAGGTCACTAACGGAGCGTTCTAATTAAAGTGCAGGAAGTTGGGGATCATTCTCATACCCCGTTCCGCCTGCTCCGGAGTGGGCTAGCGACGGGCAGTGCTCATGTGAGTGTTGCTGCCGCTGTTTTAACCCTCTCTCTCCCAGGTTGTGTAGCTCACCCGGAGGCTTTAGATTTAACCCCTAATGTCTAACCTCATGCATGACATTACTCCACAGTGCCTGTGGCTGGGAATACTAGAGTTAGGATCGGGTTTTGCTCCAGGTGTTTCTCTATTTAATGCCCCCTTAGCCTTGTATAACTTGTTTGCAATTTCTTTCTCCTTCCTTCTTTCGTCTCCTCTCCTCTTTTCTTCCTCTCATTTCCTCCATCAAATTCTCTCTCTCCCTCTCTTTTCAATCTTCCTCTTCCTCCTTTGCCTCCTCCTTTACCTCTTCCCTCCCTCCCTCCCTCCCTCCCTCCCTCACCTCACACCCTCCCTCCCTCCCCAGATCCCCTAGCCCCGAGCCCATCTACAGCCACGATGGGAAGAGGCTCAACACACGAGAGGTTAGGACGAGGAAGAGACTCGAAGACCGGAGGCACGATCTGATTCAGGAGGCGATAACACTCAATCCCGAGTACAGACCGCCAACTGACTATAAGTTAGTCTCTCTCCTTTCTCTCTTGCAGTATACCGGGGGTATTTTCATCGTACACTAAACTGTATAAAACAGAACTCAATTTCATTCTTTTACTGTGCTACTATTGTTTTGTTCTATCTTTAGTAACATTTCTAAATTTAGCCCTTATGTAATGCCACATACCCTTTAATTGCTTCCTGGCTAAAAAAACCCTGTGCACCCAAGCCCATGAGCTGATACAATCCTCTCGCTCACTCACAGAGCACCAAACAGGAAGATTGAGGACAAAGTGTTCATTCCTCAAGAACATCATCCTGAGACTAACTTTGTCGGCCTTCTCATTGGACCTAGGTATGTGAAACAACCTTCTTGGGAGCTTAGGGGTTAATAATACTACCCCTCTTTAGAGCTACATAAGTGGTTAAGATTATGAACTCCTCTTGGGAGCTAAGGGGTTAACTGTACTTATCATTATGAACTCCACTTGGGAGCTAAGGGGTTAACTGTACTTCTCATTATGAACTCCTCTTGGGAGCTAAGGGGTTAACTGTATATACTTCTCATTATGAACTCCTCTTGGGAGCTAAGGGCTTAACTGTATATACTTCTCATTATGAACTCCTCTTGGGAGCTAGGGGTGGGATCAAAGGGTTAATGCTGTAAATATCCTGTACAGTTTGCTTACAATTTGTTGGTCGACATAGTTACCAACTCCTCTTGGGAGCTAAGGGGTTTTAATTAAAGACACTCGTAGATAGGGGGTTAAACTTACTAATTGCCGCAATGGGGTTAAATGCTAACCTGTGTGGTGATGTCTATGACCTCTTTTCTGCAGAGGGAATACTCTGAAACAGTTGGAACGAGAGGTACAGCTTGTCTTTTGTCTCTATTAACTTTGTGTTAAAACCAATCCCCTTCCCCGTCCGTGACCCACTCACAGACAAACACCAAGATCATGATCAGGGGAAAGGGGGCGACAAGGAGGGGAAGTTTGGCCGATTCGGTCTCCCCCAGCCGGGAGAAGACGAAGAGCTACACGCCCTCATTACTGGCTCCAGTCCCGAAGTCGTCAAACTGGCTGTGGACAAGGTCTGACCTCGTCTGTCCCGTTTTAATGGTTTACATGTACTAGCTGTCACTACACTAGTGGTATGTATAAGTATAGAGCCATCTCTAGAACTCTGTCCTTGGTTTGTATGAGTGATTCAGCCACCTCTGAAAAAGGACACACTGCGAATAAAATAAAATTAAGTGTCGCCGAGGTGTCCATATTCAGATGATTCACTGTATATAGTTACCCGACATGCGTACGTATCCATGTGTAGATCAAGGCCATAATCCAGAGTGGGATCGACGTTCCCGGAAACGAAAATGAGATTAAGAAGATGCAGCTGATGCAGCTTGCAGAGCTCAACGGTACCTTTAAACCCATCGACGTCCTCAGGTGCACATCTCTCTCTCTCTCTCTCTCTTTTGTTATTCTTAACACTTCATTTGTACCTACTTCATTGATCTCAACGACAAACTTACTTACTTTACTCTTGCTCCCCTCCCTCCCCCCTCTCTCTTTACTTTTGCTCCCCTCGCATCTCTCTACTTGCTCCCTCCCTCCTTCTCTTTACTCTTGATCCATCCCTCTCTTTTATCTTGCCCCTCCTCCCCCTTCTCTTACTCTGCTCCCCTCCTCTCTCTTTACTCTTGCTCCCTCTCTCCCCTCCCCCCACTAGATGTAACAACTGTGGCTCCAGTGAGCACAGAACGTGGCAGTGCTCGGAGCAGATGAACATCACGTCCAGCATCATCTGCACACGATGTGGTGGAGGAGGCCACATTGCTCAGGACTGCAAGGTCGACATGTGAGTTCCTTCACCTACAAATCTACCGCATGACATTATTCTGGGGAAATTGAAGAGAATATGTCAGAGCGTAAGGGCTAAATGTTACTAAAGATAGAACGAAGCAATGGGGCACAGTTAAAGAATGCAATTAAGTTTCTGTATTTAGTAACAGTTTAGCCCTTATATACTGCCACATTCTAAATCAAACTCTTTCAACTGTACGTATTGTATATATTTGTTCAAGTCTGTACCGTATGACGTTTCTGATGTCATCAGAATAAGAAAGTTCTAGACTTACACAAGTACAAATTTACCGTGTGACAGAAGATTATTGGTTGTCCCAAAATTGTATCGCTTTTTTTATCTTTGGTATTCAGAGAATAAATGTAGATCCGATTAAAAAGTCCATGTGTATGTGCACATGAACCAATACGAACCAATTACAGGCCAAAGAAGATAGTAATCTGATTGTTTTGATGTGTGTTGTCTTTTGCAGGTCGGCAGCTCCACCCCCTACTGCTGAGAAAGCAAAGATGGATAGCGAAGTAAGGTTTTAGACATCTGTGTACAGTTCATAGTGTAGTCAGTGAAATCTACATTCTGTTGAGGGCCTTTGCGTTGTAGCGTTCCGAGTACAGCAAGGACACGATGTGGCGGGTTCTTCGGAGCGTTTCTTACCACATGTATGTAGATGTTTAATGCCTAACTTTCATTCCAATTGATGCACACTTGTTTTTACACGTGTGCGTGTTGCGCGGGGAAACGCGCTGCAGGCATTTAGTAAACTCGATAGAGTTACTACAATCACTTGTGCCTCTCTCTATCTCCTCCTCTCTCCCTCTCTCTCTCTCCCTCCCCCCTCTCTCGTCCAGTATCTCTCTCTAATGAAGGAACTGGGAGAGAAGGTTCCCGACCACATGCGGGAGGCAGCTGCTGGTGATAAGGCTGGCGTTGGCGTGGGAACCAGAGTCCCTCCCCCTCCCTCACTGGTGGGCGTCGTCTGTAAACCCGCTACATTTTTACCGGTCGCCCGGAAAAATTTGCTGGCATGACTAAACCAAAGTTTTACTGCTACGGTTATACTGATCAAGAAAAAATGCGTGCACCGTGTGTGTATACTTGCAATAAGATTTTACTGCCAAACAAGATCGAGATAGAAGTCCTAAGAACACCAAATGAATTCCCAAATTTTTCTACTTATATTATAATAGTTCATAATGTCTGTCATCCTAGGGGCTCGTGTCAATTTCTTCAGTAATAGCTAAATTGTCTTGCAACGAGAATTTACACCTCGTCCCTCCCTAAATGCAGATGGGCGGTCGCAACCCTGGAGGCCTGCTGGTACCTGACCCCCATTTCCACCACGCCCCCCCTCAACCTGGGGGACCCTGGATGTTCCACTCCCCGCACCCCGGACATTTCATGCACCCCGGGGGACCCCACATGATGATGCACTCCGTTCCCTGGGGAATGCACCCCGGGGCCCATCCCATGGGGCCCGATGGGATGCCCCTCATGCAGGGACCGATGGGACCCCCTCCCCCTCCTCCTCCCGGCAGTTAGTGAACACTCTGACCTCCTTTCCCCAGCTCTCTTATTTCTTTCATTCTCTCGTCTCTCCTTTCTCCCTTCCTTCTCTAACTCCCTTCCCTCTCTTAGTAAACATTGATTATCACACACACTTTACCTCATTTTCCCCTCCCTGCTGTAGCTGGGGATCTTCCAAATGCTCTGGTCCAGTCGTGGCCACCACAGCAAGGTACAGTGAACACTCCAAATATAGCACACCTCGGTCTATAAAGTAACTTTGTTCTACCCCATACTAACACATTGATGTGTTTCAATGAAGGACAAGTTATATAGTCTCCAGGTGATACTGTACAGCATCCATTTTCAGTGTCATCATTACTAAATGTTGTATATAATATTTCAGAGGCACCGTGGGTTCCGCCAGCCCCTCCCCCCTCTCTCCCAGTAGCTGCCCCGCCCCCTCCTCCGCCTATGGACCACACCCAGGTCAGCAGGATTATCCATTATTGTTACATGCCACATTTGATTATTGAGGGTGTGACTGTATGATGTAATGTGCCCCACCCCAACCATTAGCTCTATTACATAATCACAGGGTGGAGCCCCGCCCCCTCCTCCACCCCCTCCTGCAGAATCGTGAGAAAGAAAAGACTGCTGTTACTGAAACTGAATGTATTATATAATTATAGTACTGATTGCTGCTAATACAGACTCTATTGTACATTATGTCACATACATTTTCATCGCTGAACTCTTATTATTGCATGCATTCTTCGGAAAATAATAAGAATACGTTGAATATAAGTTGTATGCGTCAACGAGGAGGTAATGATGTATAATAGAAAGGCAAAGCAAAAGTCAACTACACCCATTTTATATTGCAGTCTGCAGTATATACAAGTTGCTATACACGTATCTCCCCCCTGACTTGAATGTTGAACATTTTTGAATTTAGGTTGACCCCTGCTAATCAATGTCAGACTGGTGGTTGTCATAGAGACGGAGGTGATACTGGGCTAGTTGTCGTGGCGATAGCTCTGAGGGGGCCCCGGTGAAGAGATCTCGACCGTAGAATGATTTCGGGAATGCCAGGACGTCGCGGAGACTGGTGGCCTGGCAGAGCACTGCCATTAGCCGGTCGAAAACCTGCACACAACAAGAGACGACAAAATCCACTCATGTGATTGCACGTCACAAGACAGAAGAAGTAGGAACACGTGTATATAGGCAACTACATACATTGTTAAATCACAGCAAAACAAAGTTATGTTGCCTATATTCTTGCCCACACATGCATAACTAGAAACGACTAAAAAAACTCGCGTCCTCGGTATTAAGTGAAACTCCTGAAAAAGGACCCTCCGAATAAAGGACACTCTCACAGTCAGTCATACATACATACAGAGGTTTTACTTTATACTAGTCACACAATTACTGAATCTAGACAGGAGCTGTAAGAGAGTGGTATACAAAAGGCATCAAGAGCACCACTAGATAGTTGGTTAGCAAGATCACTGGTAGTGGTTTACCAATAGCAATTCCTCCGTGGGGAGGACAGCCTGATCTCAATCCCTTCAGAAGATGAGAGAATTGATCTGTGGACACCTGAAAATCATGAACACACACTAATTATAACTACTGATTTTTCATTATGCTTTGGCTATTACTTGCTCAACTCAGCCATAGTGAATGGACACCTGAAAAATTTATAATTACTGCTTTTTCAATATGCTTTGGCTCTTGGGCTATTAAATTGTAGTGCTTTCTCTTTTCTTGAGTGACAAACTCAGGCATAGTGAATTGACACCTGAAAATATATAAATACTGATTTTGCTTTGGCTCTTGGGCTATTAAATTGTAGTGCTTTCTCTTTTCCTGAGTGACAAACTGGGCCATATGTAGTGAATGGAGATCCAGCACACTACGCACTGATCTACATACTCTCAGACAGAGCTGGTCTTCCTTCTTAGGAGCTAACATAACCTCTTGGCACTCTGCAATATTACATTGCGTCTGTGTCAAACTAACGTTCAGTATGTTGGTAAGAACGTGTTCCTGGAGGAGAGGGTCGTGGATTCTGATTGAGCCGCCACCTAACTCAACTCCATTCACCACCAGATCATAGTGCTGGGCCTTCACCTGCAGGTAATGTGGCAGGGCCTCAAATTAGCAATGTTGCAAGGGAAAGCATTTTAAAGGGAATGTGGGAGTAAAATAAGGGCTAGATTTGACTGCACTGGGACCTATTGATCAACATTCAGCCCTCATGTACTGCCTACACATATCCATTAACATTATTGGTGAGGCACAACGTAGTCTTATTACTGAGATACACATTTTGCTGCAAGATTTCTCATTTCATTACCTTATATGTACACGCACAAAATTGTGCCTTGTTACTTAATTATTTAAGACTAAATTTTGAGTCACTCTGCTGGTCAGCTTTTCTTATAGTATTAGAAAATCGTATTTCGTGACTCTCAAAACTTTAGTCTTGAATGATTACATAACAAGGCACAATGCACAATTCGGTATAACATACCTCATTCAGTTGATCTAGACCCAGTTTCCCAGCCACTGTCTCGCTATCATCGTCAGCAGGTGCAGTAAATGGATGATGTGTCGACAGCACACGATACACTCCCCTCTTCTTGTCTTGCTCGACGCAAAACAACGGGAAATCGGTCACCCACAGGAAATTGAGACTCTCGCTGTCTAACTCCATTCGATTCGTTAGCTGGAGGACGTTCGCTGCAAGGCCCCTATAATTACCCAGCCCTGTCAGCATCTTGTCTCTATGTGGCTTCTCACTGGTACCCAGCACGCAGAGGTCTCCGTCCTGGTAACTCAGCTCCTCGCGGACTCCATCGGAGAGTCTCTCAACCAGTGACGGAGAGATGTTGGAGAATATCGACAAGAGGGCAGAGGGAATGCGAGACGAAATCAATTTCTCCAGAGATTCTCGGGATTCCCCCTCGTTTGTTGTCATGGTAGCCAGGGAGTGGGCATGGCAGAGTTCTCGGGCTCTCTTATCAACCTCGCCTGCCTTCCCTCTGTCTTTCTTCTCCAGTTCCTCAATCGCTTGGTGCCACCCAGGAATCTTCAGAGCAAAGAAGTGTGGGTTTAAGGCACTCCCCTCTTCCCCTCCCTCCACCCCCATGTCTCGAAGCAACTCTCTCCACACTAAACTGAGGCTCTGGAGATGGAGTCCGTAGCGAGTGTCCGGTTTGTCCGATCCGTACGTCTCCATCGCATGTCTGTATTCCATTCTCTGGAACGGGAGTGGGGGAATGGAAAACTGGGGACACAGGAACGAGACCGTGGAATGAACTAGAGCCTCTGTTAGCCCCATGATGCAGTCTTGGTCTACGAAAGCCATTTCGAGATCCAATTGTGTGAACTCGGGTTGTCTGTCCGAGCGGAGGTCTTCGTCACGGTAACAGCGGGCAAACTGGAAGTAGCGATCGAACCCAGCAACCATCAGCAGCTGTTTGAACTGCTGTGGGCTCTGAGCGAGAGAGAAAAATTTCCCATGGGTTCGTGTGGGAACGATAAATTCCTGGGCTCCCTCTGGGGTTCGTCGGAAGAGTGTGGGGGTCTCGACCTCTAGGAAACCGTGGCGATGAACCAGGAACTCTCGCATGGCCATCGCGACCCTTGACCTCAGTCGGAGGTTGCGCTGCATTTGGGGAAGACGCAGAAAGTGGGGTCGCTCACGTAGCTGATGTTGGAGAGACACACTTTTCTCGACACGACCAAAGGTTGAGAAAGGGTGGTGGGATGACTCGTTGATGACCTCAAGTGACGTCATCTCCACCTCGATTTCTCCGGTGGGCGTGGTCGTGTTTACGGCCTCCGTTGGGCGTGGTCGCACGACCCCGCTCACTTTCACGACCCTCTCATTTCCGCTGAACGAATCGAGGAGATCGCGCCAGCGGTCGAGTTCACAGACGAACTGAGTAGCTCCCGCGGCATCGTGGACGCGGAGGAAGGCGAACCCGTGTGCCGGCTGCAGGCGCGGTCTCCCCGTCCAGCCGCAGAGCTCAACCGTCTCGCCCACGTGATCTCGGCACAGCTCCCCGCAAGTGTGCGTCCGGAGAGAGAACGAAGAAAATGAGCTCTGGTTGTTTCTGGCAGCCGCGCCATCGGAGCTACAACAACGGCGGGCGTGGATCTGGAATACTCGGGCGGCCTTGGTTATAGTCGCTCGCAAAGTCATCTGGCCTGGATCGCGGCGGCGATAACGCGCATGCGCGATGGGTATCGGCAACGCGAACTCAGGACCCTCTCCATTGGTTTTATACGAGGTAAGAAAAGAGTGAGGGGTAAGGTTAAAGCAGGCTTTGAACAAAATTGAGGCTAAACATGGTAGCCAGTACATCAGCTAGTAATCCAGCCAAGTTCTGACCAGTGATTGGAGGTAGCTATATAACGTTAGAAGAACGTTGAACATAAAAGATACCAACTGTTTCCTAAGATCGACGTCTGTAGTGGAATTTTTCACAGATACCATATTTTAGCAACTGAGAACTCACAAGTGTGAAACTCAACATTAACAATTATTATGTCACTGTTTGTCACGGAGATGTAATTTGTGCACAATGATCTAGCACTGTAGCTAGCTATACTGCATCAACAACTATATATAATTATATGTGTTCTGATGTGTTTAATGTGTGCATACAGCTGTAGTATTCTTATTCAGCAGCGGGATATTCCTTTTCCTCGGGCTTCTCCTTCAGCTCCAGTCCTGGAAACAGCTGACATCGTGAGGCAGCACACTCTTCAAACCTCCACTCCCGACCACTAGACATTGTGTAAGATATTATAGCTAACTATTTGAAGGACCCACAACGGTCTACTGTAGCTAACAGATAAAGGTATGTAGATTTTAATCATAGTAGTAAACATTTCAGGAGTAGTCGTCACATTCAATAATGTGATTCACAATTTTAGATGATAATTGTATATATGTGAAAGCCTTTGAAACAATAAATGTGTATTATGAATAATGACTTATTGTGTAACAAAGACTTACAAAGGGAAAGTTGTGCTGTAAAGTCCGACAAACACATTCTCTTCAGTGGCACAATAGTCAAAGATAAAGGCGAAAATATCAGACAGGGAGCAATCTGTTGGGCAGATGAGTCCAGGGCTCTCACAGCATTTTACTTCCCATCTGCAACAAAATATATAGCAAGGCAAAGCCGAAGCAAACAAGTCAGCTACACCCAAGACAACTCTTTTTTTAAGAAGAGCTGGCCTCTGTTTTCTGCGTATGTGAGCACTCTACCAACTGAGCTACTGTCCTGTCAAGGATTTGCGACGGGATATTTTGGAGCTACTTATGATATCGCCCGCTTAGGAGTCAGAGTATGCGAGATCGTTTGCGAGACTATAGTGCAATTGAGCGACGCAAAGAGAACGGAAACGAAAGGCAGTATTCCTCACATTTGGTCATCTCCGCCCGTTGCAGTCCTCACGCCAGCCATGTACTGCCTCTTTGGGCAGCGGAAGACCATTGGCTGGAAGGCTTCGTTCGCTGCGTACCACATGCAGTTCTCTCTCACCACTCCATCACTGATCTATGGTTTGGTCACAAATAGTTATGTTGCGACACACCACAATTACGGACGCGGCTATAGATTATACGTAGCTAACTAGTCTTAGGTCCTCAGCCCTTTCTTTCCCCCTTTCATAAAACGCGAAAAAACGCGAGGGAGAAAGGCTTTCCACTTTTCTGCGGGTGCTTAGCTATACACGTAGGCCTACGCACGTACGTACGTACGTACGAATGTCGGCGCGTGGCTGGTATATTATTATACGTACCTTTTTGCATTCCCAGTCCCATCGGTATCCTAATGAGAAAGAAAACTGAATCCGAGCTCTGTGCAGCGCGTATCCGCTCTGGCACTCGACGAGCAGCGGATCGCCGAAGTCGTTGTCCCACAGGAGCTCTTCTGGAGGCGGCGCTGCACCCAGTGTGCCGCGGCCGCCGCCAACCACAACCAGCGCAGCCACGGCCACGCAGACGGTGAATAACATAGAAGGTCTCATAGCTCTACTGTCAACGCATGTAGCTAGTGAGAAAATGCTATTCAGGTTTATTTTCGAGGAACTAATTTTGCGTGCGTCAGTCTATGGTGCGTTGTCGCCTCGCTCCCGAGTACTGCGTGCGGTATGATAACCACCAACTCGTTAACGTGACAGTGACTACAGACGACATATAGCTGTTTCGAAGGACGGTCCAGCCTGTCACCGTGCGCCTAACCTGGGCCACGTCGCTTCTCCGAGGAATTTCCGGTATCCTAATCAATCACGAGGCCGCTTGCCGCCATCCGCATTCATCATAAACCTGCACATATTATAATTATAGCTATCGAATGAAAGTCAGTATTTTTTATTATTAGGTCTTGAAGTTTTTACTAATAGTTGCCAAGATAGTGCTTGAGGCCACACTTTTGAAAACGGCACACTCCAATCTTCCACATCCTCTTACTGCAATAGAATTTATACACAACAAGTGAAAAACACACAAATGCCATGCAGCTATATATAATTATAGCTACACGGTAAGAGTTATAGAGGCATTTGGGTGCTCTAGTCTTTTGACCATGCATCTTGACAGAAACATGTGAAGAGCTAGATTTGTCTTACTTGTCCGTATGTGGTGTATACATATGGTTGAAGATGCCGACAAAAAAGTTTCCGTTGGGAATCTTGTGTTCAATGTCGCCTCCGAAATCATTGAGATAATCGGACAGACAGCAGTCACTGATGCACAGTCCTGGCTGGCGACAACACCTAACACTCCAGCTGTTTAAATATACTTACTTTTAGTAGCTATATAATACTGAGGAGCCAGCTTCAAACAAGGGACACCATGGGGCTAATGATTCTAGGAAGGTCGTCCCTAAAGGTAAAGCAATCCACCAAAGTATTAGCATGGGGTTGAAACAAGTTGAGTGGTTGCCCATTATCTCGGTGGGTCCCATATCAGGGGTTCCACTGTATGACTTACTCATCAGTATTACTGTCAATTCTTGATAAGCCGGCAATGTAGAAGTCCTTTGGGCAGCGAAACGCTAGCAAATCAAGGGAAATACTGATATCATGCGTGTAGCAGTATTCCTCCTCCACTCTCCATTTCCCAATCTGTAATTGTAATTGATACGTAAACCTCTATTCCGCTACGTAGCTACGTATACCTTCTCGCAGTTCCAGAACCACTGATGGTCGTTCGTGTCGGGGTCGGGCACCGGCGGATCACTGCCAGCAACCGTAAAAAATCCGGCCCTACCGTAAACTGCGTTCATGCCGCAACCCTTCGGACATTGGACATCTAGTACCCCGAGAATCTCGTTCTGGTAGACTAGCGCGTCTTCCTCGCTCCTTGCGAGGTGAAGAAGGAGATAGAGGGAGCACACGAGTGGGAAGATAGTCTTCCTGGCTCTCCTGCAGACGTAGACCAGAGGTTCAGGATTTGTATTATGGTAACAGCTTCGTAAAATAAAAGCGATAGCTAAGTAATTATGCAGTCCTATCGTTAGTTGTTTTACCGACACTTACATGGTATTATATTTCGGCTTGGTTATGTCTCGATAGTTTCGGCACTTTACTACAAAAAGGGCCAGAGGATTCTTCTATCTGCAACGTCAAAGCCGACTGCCCTTAATAATACGCGCTGCGCGCGGTCATCGCGCGCATGCACGCGCGCACACGTGGTCGTGTGCAAAAAATAGTGTCCGCAATTTTTTCATGTCACTCTCATGTTAGATAATATAGCAGGTATACTATTAGCTAGATAGTTAGCTGTACAGCATTGAAAATAGGGTTCATCCAAAAAATAGTCAGCAGTTCAGTGCTGGGACGGGAGTTTGATGTACTTGGCCCAAGGATAGATGTATTTGAGTAGTTTACGAGGTCCGCATTGAGCCGCTCTGCACTGCTGTAGGTAGAATACTCGATCGCTGTAGAAAACAAGTAGCTTTAGCTACCTAGTGAAAAATATAGCTAGCCCATTATCAAAAAGCTGCACACAAAATACTGCTATTGGTAAAATTGTAATATTTACTCAGAACCAGTGTCGTATATGCTGAATATGCCAGTAAAAAAGAAGCCGCTCTCGGCATCGTGGTCGATAGCTTCTCCGACGAAGTTGATTGGTCCGACTAGGCTGCATTCTCGGGTGCATTCTCCGAGTATGCGACAGCACTTGATGCCCCAACTGCATGTTTTAGATAAACATTACGGCACTTTTCAACCGAAATACGTATAGTATATAGAAAACTCACATTCGATCTAATGCGTTGCCGGCCGAGTCGAACACTGATCTGACCCCACCTATGTAGGCATTGGGCGGGCACTGGAAAGCCATCAGTTTCTCTTCCGGTTCGTTTATCGTCTCGAACTCCTCACAAAACTCCTTCGCTTTGCTTTCTATCTGTTGGAGGAACACAATCAGGTCTTGCCGCCTATATAGCGCCTAAACTTACGGGACTGCATGAAAAATCGTACTGGCGATCGTAGTCTCCTGTGCTTCGTTTCTTAGAGAAGCGGTCTTGCGTGCTCATGAACAGCGTGAGTGCTTCTCCGGTGCCGCAGTCGAACACCAGGTCTCCCCCGAGATCGTTGAGGTAGTCATTGCCAAAGCTCGCTGCGGGCCCGGCGGTAATCAGGAGAACGAGCGCAGCGACTTGCGCTGCCAAGACGGAGACGGCCATTCCTGTACGTGTAGCTACGTAGCGCTAGATCCTCCGCGAACTGCAGTTGTTTCGTCAATAGATCTCATCATTGGTATGCCATAATGTTATACTAGTTAGTTAGTTCTATGGTTTACTTCCCCAGAGATGTCACGCGCGATGCAGCACGTGTGAAAGAAACGGCGACCTTCCCGACTAGCGCTACGGGACGCCAAGAATGCGGGTTAGTGCATGCGCGCGCGAGTGCTAAAGGTTCGCCGAGCCAGTTTTGTCCTCCCAGTTCTTGACTGTATATACTCTTGTGGAAAACATACGTACAATCGTCTTTGCTGTGAATGGTTCGGAAATGTAAGTCGAAGAAGATACGTTACGTTGCTCAGCAAAATAATATATTCCCACAGGATTTTCAAAGGTGTGGAGTTATCCCTGCTGTTTTTGGCGGCGCTCCTCTGCCGCAGTCACGCAAACTTCATCAACTGCAACCCCGACAGATTTCAGAACGAACCGGAAGGAGCCCTCGACTTTGAGTGCCCGTCTGGATCTGCGCTGGAAGAGGTGGAGTCGTGTTTCGTCAACGTGCCCGCCGTGGGAGGCGACCGCCAGTGGCTCTGGCGTTGCAAGGCGGTAAGCCTCCTTTTTGTACGGATAGCTACGTATCATGAGGTGAAGGAGCAGTTTATAATGGGACAACGCATTAAAGTACTTGTGTAGCTACTGAATCATACGATTAGTAAAGACTCATGATAATTATTTGTTATACTTCCATACAGCTCAGTGGTGTTCGTAACGAAGAGTGCATGTGGCTTGATGTTACTCTTGCCACACTGGAAATTGGCGCAACAGATCCTGATCCGACCATCTTGTTTCAGTGCCCCGCCAATTATTACATGGGCGGAGTCAGGAGCACTTTCGACACGACAAATGTTGATCGCTCGTAATTGACTCTCTCTCTCTCTCTTTTTCCCTGTGTGGCGGGTTTGGTTTGTCTTGTGTTGTATTTTCAACGTAGAGAGCTATGTAGATTTGGGAGCTATATAACCTGTAGAACATATATAGCACGCTCTGCCCCGACTGCAAAATGTCGTGGTTCCCTCCCACACTAACATTAGAAGAGGTCTCCTATATAGCTAGATGTATAATAATATAGTACTGTTGTGTTGTTTGCCTCGTTTTCTTTAGCCTGGAACTTTGTTGTTGACATAATGCCTATTACAATTAATTACCTCAGGTGGGACGTAAAGTGCTGCAAACTAGACCAGTGGTGTCAGAGGGATTGTTTTATAACCGACTACATCAACGGTTTTGGTTTGGACCTCTACTATTTTCAACCGGAGGAATACCGGAAAAGTGCAAACGTGTTTGTTGGATTCTTTAGTGACTTTGACTCCACAGAAGAGTAAGAGCTATAATATTCAGCAAAATATTATGTGCATAATAAAAAAATTATCTTTCTTTTATTACTTTCCTCCCCACACCTGTGTAATTGTTTGTATTACGCACACTCCAAGAGACCGTAGGTGGAGATTGATGGTGTGCAAGTTCAGCCTCTGCGACTATGGTGTCATCATTGACGATAAAAGTCCAGATATATTTTAATGATACAAGTTCTTGAAGCATCAAAGACTCTAATTAATAACATTCAAGTTACATTAATTTTGAAGTTGCTTTTATGAAAAACGGTGATAATTATAGCTATGGAGGTGCAAACTTACATGATGTAGCTATGGCAAATGATTAGGGGTTTGCAGCCGCCTATCAATAAATAAATTCGGTTTAATAATAATGCTGCACTGCACTACGGACGAAAATGTCGCGTAGCTACTGACTGCGCTAAACACCTGCAGGAATGCACTGCGTGGTATGTCTCACCTTGGTTTGGTCAAATATAATTATGGTTAATTGACTAGAATAGGTAGTCTTAGAAACGTCAGCAACTGAACCCGTTCAAATATAGTCAGAGAATGCTGCACTTTTGTAGCCAAAACGGTTAACAGATAGCATTACTGTAGTGTCGTCTCCAAGTGCGCTGGCGCGGTCGCGCGCGCATAAACGCCGTGCCGCATTACGCGCCGGTTCAGTGTCGCGTCATCCTCCTTCCCCGTTTACAGCCCCAGTCCTGCGAAGAAGATGTGAGTCGAGTAGTTTAGCTATACTGTGCACAAATAAAACCAACTTTTGCTGCAGGTCTTTCTTGTCGGCACTTATTATTCTCCTTCTCGCCCCCTCGTATCTTACCTTTTCATCTTACGATAACACGGCGGGCGGAGACCTTTTTGAGGAATGCGAGTCTGGTTACGGGATGTTCCAGGTCGCCTCGTCATACACTACTTCTACAGGCGGCGGGACAGGCGACCGCCTGTGGGACTGGGAATGTAGAAAGGTCTAGAGAGCTAACTGATTATGCTTAGCTAGATCACGAATTGCGTGCATGCGGTAGCAAACTAGCTACTTTTCGGATTGCGGTAGGGTGTGTAAACGTAGAACTGTCCTTGTGACGTCCATCTAGCTAATTATTGTATGCAGATTGATCAGTGGCACAGGGTCTATTGTGAGTGGACGGACGAATTCAACACTCTTGAGGAGTCGTTCTTCTTCCCGTGTCCAGCCGATGCGTTCATTGCGGGAGTTCGCAGTGTATACGATCCCAATGCTGACAGTACTTTTGACCGACTGTGAGTTTCTATAATAATATTGTCATTTGGACCTACATTATAGCTAAGAATAAACCTACCATTATCATTATAAGAACCAGAATTTGTCATAGGATAATAATTAGTGAGCATGGAGCATTATCTTTTCCCTCCTCCCATTCATTCATCCCTACCTAGCTACCCCATCCCCCATCCCCTCCCTTCTATAAACCTCTCTTTAACTTTCTCCCATTTCTCATTGCAGTTTACGCACCATCTCATTACCTTTGCATGCTAATAATTATGCTTCACTATTAAAACCCCTGACTAGTTGAGTTCAGATCATTAATAATTATCTTCTCTCAAATCGAGAAACACTACATAAGTTCACCTGTATAATTATAGATGGAGTATCAAGTGTTGCCGTATTGTGTCTGTCTGTCTGAGACACTGTGAGTACACTGACGAGCTGGCAGCTCTGGAAGGTCCAATTGACCATGAGGCGGATGAAGACAACGGAGTTTTCAACGGGTTCTATGGAGGACCTTATGACGGCACGTCCATGTAAGCAACTAACGATGAAAACTATGAACTTCCATGAATGTCTAGCAGAAAAGGCAATGACCATAGTTCTGTTAAGAAATTGCATAAATGTTTGGAAAGGTTAAGAAAATTAGTAGAAAGTCCTATAGGTATGCTAGGTGGCCATTTGTGTGACTTGAAATCTGTAGAAATTTAGCTAACCATAAGTATAATATTATATATAAATTTGTTGCAGGGACCGACAGTATAGGATTGGGCAGTGCAAGTTTGAGCAATGTCGTCCTTATGCAAAGAGCTACTTTTCCAAGATTCATAAGAAATAGCCATTTTGAACACAAAATCATGCATGAACTTCTCATTTACTCTCATAGATAGCTATTCACGTTGTGGGACTCTTTTGTTGAATGTATGATACACGAGTTATGTAATTTAGTTACTGGTATATACCAGTTGAAGTTAGCACTCTGCAGTAACGTTTACGGAATTCACACAACTCCGAGGCTTGAAGCAATGCGCATGCGTACGGAAATGTTCCGCTAATGTACGCTCCTCCCATTCTTGCTCTGCGAGCGATGGAGCGAATCGCCTTTCTCTGCGGGGTGTTCTCGCTGCCGTTTCTCTGCTGGACTTCGGCTGATCGTTCCGATTCAGTAAGCCTGTACGGCGGCTCCAGTGTCGGACCCTGCAGCGCCGCAGGAGTAAGGGATAATCTAACGTTCATCGCTAACTACACCGATCTACCGGACGCCCTCGAGGAGTTAGAGCGAAACGCGACGACAGAGTTCTCCCACTTTACCGTCTGTCTCCGCGGAGATGGCGCCTTTACGCTGTCCCCAGTAAACCTTACAGTCAGCGTAGGAATTCAGTCCGCCGCGGGACCAACTACGACGGAGAGGAGCAGGATATACTGCAACGCGGTGCCCAGTAAAAACTACTCGGGCTTTCTTCCGCGGATCCCAGGACGTGCGGCTGGAGAACTTACGTTTCGAGGGCTGTACATCGCCCATTGGTCTAGAGCTAGTGGAGACAGTCGTCATCGTTAACTGCTCGTTCAGGTAAATCCAGCACTCAGTTGTTTTCCAACAGAACATAGTACCCTCGAGCTATACTTTGTATTACGTAGGTATTTCACGGAAGCTGTGTTTGACATCTTCAATTGTCAAGACACAAACATCGTCGACTCAGTTTTCGAGCATAATTCTGGCCATGGTTTGTCGGGGGTCACTAGTCGAGGTAACACGGGCGGTGTTGCCATTGGTTTTCGAAACGCTCCACCATCCATGAGAGAAGTTTCTGTCATTATTTCAAACACGACGTTCCTGAACAACACTGCATTTTCGACCTCGTTTCTCCTGGCTCTTGATCGTCTGGTCTACCCTGGAAGAGGAGGAGCTCTAGGAATGTTCATGTCCCACGCATTTGACAACGTGACGGTAGTAATCTCACACTGTTCATTTGTTGAAAACACAGCAGCACTCTTTGGAGGGGGGATATTCTATTTAGTCACTCACGAGAGCCACCGCCACAAGTTACTGATTGATAATACGACATTTGATTCAAATTCCGGTCTATTTGGGGCCTCGGGGGTTATGCTAGCTAATCCGCTATCACTTGAAGAGTTGCCAGGGGAAAGGGAACCAGTGCTATTTAAGATCAGAGGGTGTCGGTTTGTTAACCACACCGCCAACAGTGGAGGGAGCATCTCCTTGTTTCCATCCTATCTCACTGGGAGAGGAAGTCAGATGATACTGAGCGACAGTGTGTTTGTCAACAACAGGGAAAACGAGTCGGATCCTTTCGCTCACGGCTCGGCCATCGCTATTTCAGAGATCAATATCTTCAGCGATCGTTCGTCGATCCCCGTGCACCAAATCACAAACTGGTATGATGATAAGTGTTTTACATCGTACTAATGTTGATGAATTGTTGTTTTTTGTTCAGTACGTTTGTCAACAATTCGGGGCAGAATGGTATTGTCAATGATGGATATGCTCCAATCCTGTTCTCAGGAGCTAACAGTTCCTTGGAAACAAAGGAACACCACTGAAAGGTGTGGACATGTAGACACTTTTTTTCCCAATCTGGCCAGAATGAAGTTATAAACTCAAATACTTGTTTTTTTGTTGCTTCTCATCAGATAATCATTGACTCTTAGCTTTAGTTACATAATACACACAAAACTCCCACTTTTTTGCTGTGCATGTGTCCACTCACAAAGTGTGTTCATAATACACAACAAATCTCCCTCCTTCTTTGTTCATGACTAAAACGTCTCAACCATGTTCTACTGCAGTTGGTAGGGTCCTTGGTTGAGCTGACTGGTCAGATGGACTTCATTAACAACACTGTCAGTAATGGGGCAGCTCTCTTCTTCACCTCCTTTGCTCAGGCTCGCCTTCATCGCGGTCTCAGGATCCTCTTTCAGGGAAACATTGGAAGGTATTGCTACAGCGAACAAAGGATCCTCTGAATAAAGGACAGCTCTCTGTGTATAGAGGACACTTAGTTCTGCCTCGTACTTAAATACATTAGCGTATTACACTACCTCAGAATAAAGGCACCTCAGAATAAAAGGACAGTTTATAATGTTTCCAAGGTGTCCTATATTCAGAGATTTCACTGTAGTATTAGCTATCATACATCCACTGTTGTAATGCATGCATTTGTATAAGTTGTCATGATCCCTGTCTTTATATGGTTTTGTGTAGTTTTTATTGTACTTTACATGACGTGATTATTATTGTTATTTTCTTCAAGGTTGGGTGCTAGTATCTTTGTGGACAACCCAACGTTCAGTCTGAGTTCTATCTACAATCCTCTCTGCTTCTTCCTCTACGAGGACTCTACTTCCTCCCCTACCCAGTGGGATGATGTGAGTAGTAAGGAACAGTTCTTGCATGCAGTTTAACCCTTGAAATGAGGACACCTCACTAATTCTGGTGTTCTGATAGAGAGATGGGAAAGAGGGAGAGAGAGAAAGAAAAATTATAGTGAAAGAGAGAGAGGGAGAGAATGAAATGGTATAGCTACAGAAAGCTCTCTCCCCAGATCAATATTACCTCCACAAGAAACAGTGCTCTAGAGGGCTCGACTCTCTACATCAGAAGACTGGAGCATTGCAATTGGGTCTCTCTCTCTCCTCCGTTCAACAACAACACCGCATCAGAGATTGGATCATCTGGGACATTCGGTACAATACAGTTAAACCTCTGGGAAAGGACCCCCTGAATAAGGGACACCTCTCTATAAAGGACACTTGGTTCTGCCCCATACTAATACATAGGGACACCTCTCTATAAAGGACACTTGGTTCTGCCCCATACTAATACATAGGGACACCTCTCTATAAAGGACACTTGGTTCTGCCCCATACTAATACATAGGGACACCTCTCTATAAAGGACACTTAATATGCCCCATACTAATATACATTATTGTGTTATGTTACCTCGAAAGAGACGTCCTCTGAGCTAAGGACACCACACACCTCTCTATTACCCACTTTAGACATCTGCATGGGTGTGTATACCTTATTTAGCCAACATCACACTCTTACTTTCACCACTTTGCACAATACAGTGTAACCCCTGGGAAGAACCCTCTAAATAATAAAGGACACTTGGTTGTGCCATTAGCTACCAATTTTCGCCAGGGTGTCCCCTTATACACAGTCAGCCTCACTCTCTTACTCTCACTACATTGCCTTGCTCAACTTACACTGTAGTGACTTAACTATGTGTCTACTACAAACTGGTTTCACATTGCTGTCATTCAATGCTTTATGCACCATGACTACTACGGTGGAACCCCTCTCTCTCTAAGGACACACCTGAAAACAAGGACACCTCTCTAAGGACACACCTGAAACAAGGACACCTCTCTAGGGACACCTTTCTTTCCCCAAGAACAGTCTCTTGCAAAACCTGAAATAAGGACATCTCACTAATATGGACACTTTCTTCAGTCCCAATTGGTATGTCTGGATTAGAAGGAGTATTTCAATCCCAATGTACAGTAACAACTCCAACACTGGGTTCGAAGGTGACATTAAAACCGACGCTTCGGAAATGTCTGTCACTACACGGGAGGTAAGGAGACCAATCACTTACTCAGAAGTTCAGAAGTCATTTCTCCCGTCTGCCACAGGTATCTCCGTGGCCAGGACAAAATTTTCCAGTATCTCTGACCGTTCGAGATCAGTTTGACCTCCCGACCTCTGTCACTGCTCAATTCCTCTTCAATGTAAGAATATTTTTTTAAGAATGTGCCAGGAATTTTCCATTGACCCAGGCTAATGAAGGGGGAGGAGGAGAGAGGGTGGTACTGCAGCCTGAGCTGACAGCCATCACAAGCAGAGCAGAGTTCACTCAGAACTTCAGCTCTGTGACCAGCTCTCAGGACGCCAGTGGGACCGTTCTCATCTCAAATGGTCTACAGAGTAAAGCTTTCCAGACCCAGGTATATAGCATGCCTACTTAACCCAAACTTTACACATGGTCGATCAATATGGCACTTTTTCTTCCTTGAATAAAGCACTCTTTGCATGGTAGAGTAGCTAGAGAACTAGCTCTATAACTTTTCTCTTTCTGTGAAACGAGTGCAAGTTATAATGTTTTTGGTGGGTCAGCACTGTTTGCTGACAATTCCAGAAATTGAAAGGAAAAAGTGATACAACTCGTGCTTCTTATTACTGTGTCTATAGTTGCTAAAAAAGCAAGGCTCAGAATCTACATGAAACAAACTCTGGCTTTAGAGCGCTATATATAGGATGTGCAGCTTACTGTGTCCTTAGAGATGTTAAAAACAGTGAAACCTCTGAATAAGGGACACATTGGGGACATCGAAAATGTTCGTTTAGAGGAGTGCCTCATTCGGACACCAATGTATTAAGTATGGAGCAGAACCATAGTGTCCTTTATAGAGAGGTGTCCCTATGTATTAGTATGGTGCAGAACCATAGTGTCCTTTATAGAGAGGTGTCCCTATGTATTAGTATGGGGCAGAACCAAGTGTCCCTTATAGAGAGGTGTCCCTATGTATTAGTATGGGGCAGAACCAAGTGTCCTTTATAGAGAGGTGTCCCTATGTATTAGTATGGGGCAGAACCAAGTGTCCTTTATAGAGAGGTGTCCCTATGTATTAGTATGGGGCAGAACCATAGTGTCCCTTATAGAGAGGTGTCCCTATGTATTAGTATGGGGCAGAACCATAGTGTCCTTTATAGAGAGGTATCCCTATGTATTAGTATGGGGCAGAACCCAGTGTCCTTTATAGAGAGGTGTCCCTATGTATTAGTATGGGGCAGAACCAAGTGTTCTTTATAGAGAGGTGTCCCTATGTATTAGTATGGGGCAGAACCAAGTGTCCTTTATAGAGAGGTGTCCCTGTGTATTAGTATGGGGCAGAACCAAGTGTCCTTTATAGAGAGGTGTCCCTGTGTATTAGTATGGGGCAGAACCAAGTGTCCTTTATAGAGAGGTGTCCCTATGTATTAGTATGGGGCAGAACCAAGTGTCCTTTATAGAGAGGTGTCCCTATGTATTAGTAGGGGGCAGAACCAAGTGTCCTTTATAGAGAGGTGTCCCTATGTATTAGTATGGGGCAGAACCAAGTGTCCTTTATAGAGAGGTGTCCCTATGTATTAGTAGGGGGCAGAACCAGGTGTCCTTTATAGAAAGGTGTCCTTTATACAGAGGGTCCTTTTTCAGAGGTTTCACTGCTAATAGGTATAATACTTCCCTCCACAGCTACTGGTACTAAACTCCTTCAGCCTGGACCTGGTGCCCTGTCCTGGAGGCTATACTCCAATGAGTATAGAGACCAGAGAGGGTCTGTGGGGTTGTGTGTGTGACACTGGACTAGAGAACCTCGTACTCTGCTCTTCTGACCAAGATACTATATTCATCACAGTACGTGTTGTATGCTTCTTCGTGTACTATTGTGCCGGTGTCCTGACCAAGATATACACGCGTACTATAATCCATCACAATAATGTGCCCTATTTATGGCTATGCTGCTTCATTCACTATTGTGCTAACAGCACAAGTAGTTTTGTAGCATAAACAGGTGCACGTCATGCAAATCTACCACAACTATAGCTACAGCTGAATTGTATTTGCCTTGAACAAATACTGACATCTTTAGATTCATGCACATAAACACGAAGCTAAATCATCTTGTTTTGCTCTCAATCCAGTCAGGGATGTGGGCAACATACGTGCCTCCAGCAGTGGACGGAAGCCATAATATAGAGTTCTACCCCTGCCCTCCCGACTATTGCTCCTGTGTTAACGATGTAATCACCGATGTCAGTGGAACTGTGTGCATGTATGCCTATACCAACTCGAACCCTGACCTACAGTGCAGCTGCAACAGAAGAGGTGATCCCTAACTCCCTTGTACTTCTACATTTTTGGAAACCAAAATTTTTAAGGCCGATACACAGTAAGGTTTCTTTCATTCTCTGTGTGAGCTTAAAAAGCAACCAATTACGATTTTCTCTGTAAAAGACATCCATTTGTCTAGGAGCCTACAAAACCTAATGTGTTTGCATCGTATATTGGGCAAGAGCTTGGAAAATGTGAAGTAGCTACACCAATTATATCTTCATGCTTTGTAGGTGTGCTGTGTGGAGAATGCGCCAATTCCTCATCGGTGACTGCTCTATTCAACCGCTGTTCAGACTGCTCCAACCACTCATTTCTGCTCATCCCTGCCCTCAGTCAGTATCTATGTTCCTTATACCTCATATGGCAGGCTGTTTGTTTCTAATCTCATGTGGATTAGAATCAAGTGGCACCCCATACCCTTACACAACATGTCATTTCCACTTTACAATCCACTGCAGTCATTGTTGATGTGGTTGTGTCTGTTTTCATTGCTGTCCTCAATGCCCCACTGCCCGAATGGACCTACCCTTTCCTCTTCTATATCCAGGTCAGTAGCCAAAATTGACTTGTGAACATGTGACATTACTTATCTCCATTCACAGATGGCTCCATACGCTGTCCAATATTTTCCACTGAGTTTCAGCACCGTCGGGAAATATGTAAGTATCATAACCAGAGATTGATATTCAAGTTCTCTAAGCAGTGTATAGATAGTGTTAGATAATTCATTTGCAGTTCCTTGTTATGTGCAGTCTTAGAGAATGAGAATTGAATCACAGAGTTAACCAAAGTCTCTGTTGTCCAATAAATCCCAAGTCTGCACTGAGTTCCTAGACAAGTAGGTGATGTTCCATATCTCCTTCTGCTAGTTAGAGAGCAAAGCAAGCCTACCTACGTAGTTGTCTGAATTGCTCGGTTTTTTCCATACGTACAGACTGACTCACAGACTCTGCACCGTGAAAACTGAACAGCTCACGCTATTAGAAAGAAAGAAAGTAGAAAACAGGACTTTAGAAGGGCTACAATTAACATACATAATAACCATAAGGCCTTACTTTGGACTTGCAAATGCACATGTGCGAACATCACGCAACCAAATCAACATTCGTTGCTAGAGTTAGATTTTCTCCTGACCTGAAAATGTTTGATGTTTCTGCTGCAGCTGTACTTCGTAGGCAGTGCCAGTAGCTTCTACTTTGTCTATGATTTCTGTCTCTACAACGGAATGACATCACTCGGAGGGTCAGCACTGCGCTACCTACCTCTCCTGACCGGGGCCGCCACTCTTCTACCACTCCTGGGGCTCAAACTATGGTACGGAAAATTCAGCATCTCTCTGAGTGCATGATTGCAACACATTGATTTTTGTTGAGCAATATATTATGAGAGTACCAAATTTTTGATGGGCGCCACCTTTTTTGAATTAAGCTGTATGCAAACAATTGGGTTTCTTTTTGCGATCCATAGAAACAGTATGTGAGGACAAAACTCTTTGCACCAGTGTAAAAATCAAAGTCTAGAATAATAAGAAATTTCTAGCCATGGTGATATAATATTATAGTTGTCACTTGATTCACCTTTTTATCCATAATTTTGTCTTTCATATCAGTATGTCGAAGCGACGTAGCACCATCAAGTACCACGGACTGTGGATGATAGTTCTTCTGTCCTTCTCTCACGTGGTCTACACATCAATGAGTCTCCTAAACTGCCCCTCTATTACTGACAGCAACGGACACACCTCCCCCGTAATAATGACTATACTACATACTGTGCTCCATGGCATAATAGCTCAGTGTGAGATGCATGATTTTCATGGATAGGATAATTATAACAATTTTCGCACCTAGGCTGCGTTTTAATGGATTAGAGCATTATTGTTTAAATTGCTTGCCAGTTTTGATATAATACATACAAAACAACAAGAGAATAGTTGCTAGCATAATGACCAAGCCCATCTCTCACTTCGAATAATGTGTAAATGATCAAAGGAAAAGGGATCTCGCAACGTACATGAACCAATCGTTCTTTCTGTTTGCTCGTGTGCAGAGGTGGTTTGTGAATGGTGAGGTAGAGTGCTTCAGTGGTTCTCATCTCTACCTGGGAGTGGCAGCTGGCATCATTCTGCTCCTGGCCTTCCTCCTTACTGTCACTACCACTGTACTCCCTCTCACACAGGCCAGACACAAGGTGAGGTATATACACAGACACTAGCCAAAACCAACTCCTCTATCTAGCCTCCTCTCGTCAATGTTATGCTATATAGATCCATTTATGTTAACCGCCCACTCACTTTTCATTTTTGCATCGCCACTCCCTATTCTATATAAGAGGGGTCTCCCCCTATTGTTATAGTGTGACCCTTGTCTCGTATTCTGAGTCCATTATGAACGGGTTTTTGCAAAAGCTAGGCTAATCTGCCATCTCTCCCTCCTCCCACAACTCTGTCTCCCTCTCCTTCTCTTCTCCAGAGGCAGTGGGTCACAAAGTTGAGCAGCACTCTCTCGTTTAGCTACAGAGACAAATGCGAGTGGTGGGCCAGCGTTGAACTGTCCAGGAGAATCTTCCTCATCTTTGTCCTTCTCACCTTCCCCAGAAACACGGTGAGTAAACACACACCATACCTGAGGTCTAAGACCACACCTTTCCTATCTCCACATATTGCCAACACACAAACCAGTGGTGGATCCAGGGGGGTTCCTTGGGTTCCGCGGAACCCCCCTTTTTGTCGTTTTGCGCACATGCGTCACTGGCCTCGTGCACGCGCACACAAGCACAGTCAAAAGGTTTTTGGACAGTGGAACTCCCCAGCTTTCATAATCCTAGATCTGCCACTGCAAACACTGGCCAATACTAGCTGGTTTCTCACTTTGCCTTCACTGCCGCTAACACCACATCTCTCTATCTCCCCCCCTCCCCCCATTGCCTATACAGACACTGGTCATTCTGGTACTAGCTGGTATCCTAGCTCTATTTGGACACGCCCATCCCTACAAACACCGCCTCACAAACATCTCCGAAGTGGCTGTTCTCACAAACTTCATCATTCTCCTCGCTCTTCGACAAACGCCTTACGTCATCGACGAGTACTTCCAGTTCCCCAGCGAGGAGGGAGAGGGTGGGTGTGGTGACAACGTTCCAAGGGGCGTGGCTACAATATCGTGGATTCTCCTACCTCTGTACTACCTGCCAGTGCTGGTCTTTGCTGTGTTGATAATTGCCCGTATAGTTCTGTATGGGGCGCCTCCTCTTTGGTGAGTATGGTGTGAAACCACAGAATAAGGGTCACCTTTTGGACTATTTTCAGAGGTGTCCCTACTACTTGGAGGAAGTATGGGGCATGCAGAACCCACCGTCCTTTGTAGAGAAGTGTCTCTATTCGAGCCGGGTCCATTTTTGGAGGTTTTACAAAGCATTCACAAGTGATTAGATATACATCGTCATCAAAATCTAGGCCTAAGCAGTGTTCTAAATGCTAACTGCTCATCAGCTATATACTGAAGCAGCAGTGTTCTAAATGCTAACTGCTCATCAGCTATATACTGAAGCAGCAGTGTTCTAAATGCTAACTGCTCATCAGCTATATACTGAAGCAGCAGTGTTCTAAATGCTAACTGCTCATCAGTAGGCCTTGACGAAATTTGCTAGCATAGTTTTGAGCAAAATAGGTAGCAAAGTAAATAAGCAATTCTGCTAGCAAAATGGGCTGTCAATTTTACCTATGAAGCAAAATAGGCAGCTTTGCTCCAACCACCCACGCATCGGCGTCTCTGCGCCATTTAGTGACAGGCGTTTCAATGTTTCGCACGGTGGAATACACGTTTTATTAGAAATATACGGTCAGGGTACGTCCATTTTTTTTCGATGGCGACAGAACCTGTGGACGTGGTTGCAGAAGACGCAAGTGCTTCAGTACAACAGTCGTTCCATTTTTCGTAATGACTCAGTTGTTTAGTGTTTTAGTATGTACTCAGACATATTTAATGGAAATTCTACAAGCATTGCGTACAAATAAAGCAAAATAGGTACACTTATAAAGCAAAATAGGTAAAAATATTGAGCAAAAAAGAAAAGCAAAATAGGTACACTTATAAAGCAAAATAGGTAAAAATATTGAGCAAAAAAGAAAAGCAAAATAGGCAGAGAAAAAAGCAAATTTCGTCAAGGCCTACTCATCAGCTATATACTGAAGCAGCAGTGTTCTAAAATGCTAACTGCTCATGTTTACATTATTAATAGGGCACGTGTGAAGAAGATAAAGATAAGAAGACGCGAGGAGGGAGGTTTCCATGACAACTCACTGAGTATGAGTCACAGAAGACCAGCTAGCAGCATGCCCACCACACACACCAGTCTCAGAATCGCACGAGGTGTGACCCACGGCATCGCCTCTGTCATTAGGTCAAACAAGAAGAAGAAATCTTGGAGAAATAACGGTCTCGAACTTAGAGCTACTACAGCTGATGATCATGAAGACCTCATTGATCCATTTTTGTGACGTTTTCAATTTTAGCTCCTCTGTTTCTGTCATGGGTTTGTGCAATCACTAATAATATCTTTTGCCAGTTTAATATTTCGGGCCAAGTGATGTACCTCCTAATATGGACATGTTGGTATATACCAGGCCTTTTGTCCTTTTACAGGGAGGTTGTCCATAAAAGCTGGGATCTAAAAGTGTGAGTGGTAGTCGATCAGTTAATGGGAGTGTTCTTTATCAGAGGTTCTAATATATACCATCAGGACACTCAACTTGGTGTGTTAAAAATCATATCAGTAACTAAAATGAACAGATTTGTTGACAATCACAATTGAGAATTATTGGACTGGGCATTGGTTTTAAATAAACTGTTTCGGTTGAAAATGAAAGTAATGCCTCTCTTTGATTGCTTAGTACGAGGGGTCACTTTCAGGTAGCCCTCGGTCGATTCTGTGTAGTTGTCGGGCAGCTCGACGATGGTGGATGTGTTGTTTGAGCCTGGGTCAGGAACAGTGTACATGTTGTAGACGTGAGTCTCTCCTGTGCTACTGACATCTGCCTCGTCGACTACTGGCCACTTCCACTGGTAGTGGGACCTACATTATTCAATTACATACTTACCTGATATGGACACTTAAGTGTAAGCTGTGCCGTTTAACTTATTGTAATACCGTATAATTATTAGCTACAGTCATTTGGTGTTAATGGTCCAGTTTTACCCAGGCAAAATTTTTAAAAATTTGGATGACTTTAAACCTTGATATTTTCAATCGCTTGCCTACATCTGACATGGTTCTGCCACATACTAATTAATAGATTAGTATTACCTCCGAATAAAGACACTTCCCATGTCCCCTGAGGTGTCCCTTACTCAGAGGTTTAACAGGCTTCCCTTATACTCAAAGGCTTCTCTGTACATATATACATATGAAAGAACACTGTTTATATATATACCTGACATAGAGAGAGGCTAGTACAGCAGTAGTGATAAGAGCCACCAGAACTGGGAGGTAGTAGAACGGCATCAGAATCCACGACACCACGGCGATTCCTCCCACACTACCGCAATGTGCAGCACCGTCGGTCGACTCCGTAACGTCAGTCAACGACGGGAAATAGAAGAAATCGTCGGTGAAGAAGGAAGTAGCGCTGATGATGAGGAGGAGGAGGAAGTTGAGGTTGGTAGCCAGCTCGAGGTGGTTGGCCAGGCGGGAGCGGTAGGGCTGGATGTAGCTGTAGACTGTGGTGTAGGCTGCCACTATCAGCACTCTTATTGCCTGCAGAGACAGAGAAAATTAGTTTTCAAAAGGCAAGGTAAACAAGTGTATAGGTACAGGCAGCGAGATAGTGTTGCTATTCCAACCTCCAACTATAGTCAAAGTATTAGGCATGGTTGGTTTGTCATTTTGTTTACCCACATCCCTGCAAGAAATGCAAAACAGTTCAAACCCTTGTCAGGGGGTGGTGGTAATGAAGTAAAGGCGAGATAAATAGGTGTATAGGTACATCGAGATAGTGTTGCTATTCCACCCTCCAACTATAGCTAATTTTGACAGAGAAAGGATTTGGATACCCGTGCTTACAACACTGTCATGCATAATTCTTGCGGATTGAGGAGTTTAAAAAATCAAAAGAGAATGGAAGGCGTCTGTCATTATTAGCGGAGTGCACTAATTGCAAGAACTGCTCTTAGGGGAAAGAAAAGACGTCCTTGTTAGAGGGTGTCCTCGTAATCCGAGAGGGGGTTCTCCCTGACAGAAGGCCCCACACCTGGTTCTGAGGGAAGGAGATGGTGAGGAGGAGGAGGAGAAACCGCCGTCCCAGTTCCACGCTGGCCCACCACTGGTACCGGTCTCTGTACACCAGAACCAGCGGAGGTCTCAGAAACTCCATTCCATACTGCAAACAATAAATGACTCTCATATAGGTACATTGGATTATCGTGTATATTCAGGCAACACGGGTTACAACACATATAAACTGCTATTATGGTACAGTCATATGTAAGTAAAATTTAAAACTCACCTTCTTCACCCTGCCAGTGGCTAGCAGGAAGACGAAGGGAATGAGAAGAAGAGAAACCAGTAAAACCAGTATGCTAGGAGACCAGAGGGCAACATGGCCGCCAGTGAAACACTCTACCTCTCCATTTACAAACCATCGCTGCAGAGAGAGAGAGAGGAGAGAGAGAGAGAGGGGGGGAGAGAAGGGTGCATTAAGTAGCAAAACAATTCCACTGAGGACACCTAATGAATAACACCTCTCTACAAAGGAAACTTACATTAGCACCTCTGAAAAGGACACATCTGAATAATTTGGCGTCCCCAAGGTGTTCCTTATTCAGAAGTTTCACTCTACAATTATAATTATACTGCAAACCAAGTCTAAGAAGGTACATACGTACATAATACGTTACGTATGTCTACATATAGCTTACTGGACTGCGGTCTCCATTAGTGCCGACAATGGAGGGGCAGTTAAGGATATTCATAGAGGTATGGACCAGGTGGGTGTAACCCCAGTAAGACCACCAGCCATAGTCCATGGTGTTGCAGTCGGCTTCTTCTTCAGGTATCTCCGATACATGTACGACCTTTGGAATAAGGGGAGTGAGACGTAACAGTGAAACCTCTGAACCAAGGGACACCTTGAAAGAGTCTTTTAGTCAGAGGTGTCAGGGGTACATTCTAACACACTAATGGGGCCAAGAAGTATAGAGGTGTTTCATTGTATTTGTACACTACAACCCCAGTGAAGGAACAGTTGTATATATTAAGAGTAGCCACAGATAAATCTAGTCATAGATATACAGTGGAACCTCTCTAATCCGGACACCAATGGGACAGAAGAAAGTGTCCTTATTAGAGAGATGTCCTCATTTCAGGGGTGTCCTTATTAGAGAGGTGTCCTCATTTCAGGGGTGTCCTATTAGAGAGGTGTCCTCATTCAGGGGTGTCCTTATTGAGAGATGTGTCCTCTTTCAGGGGTGTCCTATTAGAGAGGTGTCCTCATTTCAGGGGTGTCCCTATATTAGAGAGGTGTCCTCATTTCAGGGGTGTCCTTATTAGAGAGGTGTCCTCATTTCAGGGGTGTCCTTATTAGAGAGATGTCCTCATTTCAGGGGTGTCCTTATTAGAGAGGTGTCCTCATTTCAGGGGTTTCCTAAGAGAGAGGTTCCACCGTACAAGTCATACCTGCCGAAGACGAGAGGGGCACAGACCAATATCCCCACAAACAGCGGGAGGTAGCGCAGGAAGTACGCGACCCCGGAGCTCATGTTGCCATAGAGACAGAAGTCGTACACGAAGTAAAATCCGGTGCCACTCCCAAAGAAGTACAGCTGCAATATTTCATTAAAGATTAAAAACACCGGCTCATTATACCAACAGATCACCATCTAGTAAAGGAAGAAATCTTTTTTTGCAAATTTTGTGAAGTTTGGGTTGTTTTGTAGGTACAAAGTTCAATTATGGAGGGAAAGAGCAGTGAAATATAGAGATAGGTTAAAGGTCAGAGTGAGATGGAGGCTGGTTACGTTCATTCCATGCTCTAACTTTGTTAAAGTGCTAATGGTGTGCCTTCAACTAGCCTGAAAAATGGAAGAGGAATAGTGAGAGGCCAGGCAGGCACACTACATTACAGTAGTGCAGCTGGTTAAAAAAGGAAAACATTTGCCACACTGCCGATCTAGCAGAGATACTATTTTCTTCATCGATGTAGTGCACATGAGTAGTGAGTGGCTCACGTATTTGGCTATCTTCGTGAAGCTGTCTGGGAAATCCAGTGCCACAATTGGAGCAATCTGCAACAGAGTCATGTGAGGATCACGTGGTAGTCATGTGACATTAACTGTATATAATTACAGCTATAGCGTAATCAGAACGATAGTATACATTATTGGCGAGCGAACACAAAATGTGAAAAATGAGGTTTACGCATTACTTAGAGCATTACGGCATAAAACAACTGCCAAATATTATAAGTATATACAGATATACAAATGGACAAAATAATTGGGCAAATAAGACAGTAGGTGGGTGGGTTAGTTTTGTTTGCTAATTAGCCAGAATTTGTTTTTTGCAGACCTGAAAGTAGAAGATGAAAGGATATAGCCAGCTGGGAAGAGGTTTGTCCAGTAGCACTAGTATCGCCATGACCACCACATCCACAACAACTGAAACATCAGACACAAGTTCATGATTTCTTTATTGTCAACGGCTAGTTTCACAAAATTAAGTGTCAGTATTAGTGAGGTGTCCTGAGCATTATACAGTGCAACCTCTCTAATCCAGACACCAATGGGACAGAAGAAAGTGTCCATATTAGTGAGGTGTCCTCATTTCAGGGGGAGGGGTTCCACTGTATTAGTAACTGACTGAGTAGTAGGATAAGAAGTCCTGATGCATCGTCGCAAGTGACACAGTTGTTGAGTAGAGAGCTGACTCCCTTTTCATCGTCTCTGCACTCTCCACAGAGGGTGCCTGCAGAAAGAGGAGAGGGAGGGGGAGGGAAGAGATGGGAAGAGAAACAGAGTTAGTGACATGAACTCTCTACTAGGGAAAAGGAAGTCAAGGAAACCGCTGCAGAAAGGACACTTTGGAGACATTGAAAGTTGTCCTTTATTCACCAAATCGGCGAATGAAGCGTGCCTACGTAGTCGTGTGAATTTTCTATCATATTATGTTTATGTGATGGGCACCGCACATACCGTAATGTTTACTAATACTAAAACTAAATACGCAGCCTGAAAAATCCAACTGCTTGTGCTCGCTCACCAAAAATGTGTTGCATTCGATCTGGTAATTATGATACACTTATAATGACTTGAGCAGTTTCGTCCACCTAACATATCGAGACCGAGGGTGTATGGGGTAGCAAATTCGAGAAGCCCACGTCAAGAAAAGCCGTGATCGTCTAGAGGTTAGGACATTGCGTTGTGGCCGCAATAACCCAGGTTCGAATCCTGGTCACGGCAACCTTTTTTTATTTTTTTCGTGCCTCTTTCTTCTTTAGTCCACTGATTTTGTTCGTTGGACGTTCATTTATTACGTAAGTTTACTGGCCAACATTTACACCTCACAGGACATGATCTGTCAACTCTATAATTCCATTTCACATTATTAGTATTCAGACAGCCCTTGATTTTCTAATGGTCTCAAGTATAGATTGTAGATTTTGGCAGTGAAATACACATTTATAGCCATTTAATCTTGCAAATGTTGACACAAACATCACATTACGGTATTGCACGCATTGATGCTAACATTTTGTCAATTAATGAATAGTTTCTGGTGATAAAAACCACCAACAACATTATCAAGTCGATCTACGTCTTTTTCGTTTTCTCTCACCTCGTCTGCTGCAGGCACACTGATAGTCGGGGTCAGAGTGCGAGTATGAGTAGACACACGTCTCGTTGCTAACGCTGTCGTCATGGCGACAGCGGCAGTAACCGGTGGGGCAGGGGTAGAACTGAAGATTAGACTGAGGAGAGGACTGGCCGCCATCCCTCGCTGCGCGGGGGAGCAGCATGTCACCGACTTATTTTCAAGAGATCTGGATTGAACAAGTCACAACATTGAAACTCGAA